AAAACATACTGTATGTGAAGAGAGCAGCCCATGGGAGCACTGGTTTAAAGTCCTGGCTTCTTCACTTCCTATGCAGCTCCCTGTTAATGTGCCTGGGAAAGCAGTATAGTGTTAGATGGCTCAAGTATTTGGGTCTGTCATCCACATGGGAAAACTGAATGTAGTTTTAGACTTATGACTTAAGCCTAGTCCAGCCCCAGCTGAAGGGACATTTGGGGAATAATTTCTCACTTACTCTCTCTTCTTTATTTCTCTCAAGCAGATAGAAGATCTTTTTCTATCTCTCTCTCCCTCTCTTGCTTTCTCTAATTTTTTATTTATTTATGTATTTATTTTTATCACAAAGTCAGATATACACAGAGGAGGAGAGACAGGGAGGAAGATCTTCCGTCCAAGGATTCACTCCCCAGGCGACCGCAACAGCTGGTGCTGTGCCTATCCAAAGCCAGGAACCAAGAATCTCTTCCAGGTCTCCCATGCGGGTGCAGGGTCCCAAGGCTTTGGGCCGTCCTCAGCTGCTTTCCCAGGTCATAAGCAGGGAGCTGGATGGGAAGTGGAGCTGCCAGGATTAGAACCTGTGCCCATATGGGATCCCAGCGCTTTCAAGGCGAGGACCTTAACCATTACGCTATTGTGTCGGGCCCATAAAACTAAGTATATGAGATGATATGCACAAGTTGTATAAAGTGTTTCTGCACCTACAGATTTTGCTAGCCATTGATCTTGTATCTGGTTCCTGAGGATGCCAAGGACCACTGTATCTCCCAAATGAACAGAGAAAGTATGTGCAATTGCGAGCTGTTTTCAGGAAATACTGCAGGTGCGGGAAGTCGTGAGCCTATCATCAGGTGCTGGTAGGAATGAACAGTAAATTCTTTTGACTGCTCCATGCTGTTTCTGACAGGAAATCGAAAGGACACTGGCAACTGCAAGGACACTACCTTGGGCTACCAGAAGCCATGATAGGATTGTTCTGGTCTCCGTGCAGAGGTGTGGGTGAACACTTAGGTGCTGAGAGTTCTTCAGACATGTCATGATTTTGTATATGCTATGTTCTCCTTTTCTTTATTTTTATATACTTTTTAAAAGATTTATTTATTTTTATTGGAAAGGCAGATATACAGACAGGAGAGAGACAGACAGGAAGATCTTCTGTCCGATGGTTCACTCCCCAAGTGGCCGCCACAGCCAGAACTGCGCTGATCCGAAGCCAGGAGCCAGGAACTTCCTTCCGGGTCTCCCATGCAGGTGCAGAGTCCTAAGGCTTTGGGCCGTCCTCAACTGCTTTCCTAGGCCACAAGCAGGGAGCAGGAAGGGAAGTGGGGCAGCCAGGATATGGAATGGCACCCATATGGGATCCTGGCACATTCAAGGCGAGAACTTTAGCTGCTAGGCCGCCATGCCAGGCCCGGGTTCTTCTTTTTTTGAATCTCAAATTCTTTACCTTCTTTACTCTACTTACTTATTCTCTGTCATGCAACCACTAGGTACTAAGTATCATCTCATTTTAATAATGTTTGTCATCTTTCCCCAGTGACCTACCTCAATAACATTAGAAATGTTTATACGTCCCTCCAAAACCGCCAGAGCAATATCCTATTGAACATTGTGTATAACATACTGGGCAGTGATTTATGGTCCATTACTTTTCTCTTCTGCCACCTGGATGTTCCTTGAGGAACCTTAAACTTTGTCGCTAGCAAATATTTAATGAGCAAATAATTAGCCGACGGGAACAAATCATAAATTATTGGTTATTTTCATGCCTTTCCCTTATCCACAAAGATCTTTGGTTTGGCTCAGCAGAGTGACTCTTGGGGATGCACACACTAAAAAGCATAAATGAGAAAACTTTGGAAAATCCATCTAAGCTTTCATCTCTTCATCTGTCAAACAGGCACAATGTTATCTAATGCACAGGCAGCTTTAATGCTAAAATGAGGGAACAGTCATAAAGGTTGAAGGACCATGTTACACACTGACAAAGTTTTGGGTTTCCTTCTATATTCTTTATGATTTCCAGTCTCTGAAAGAAGTCACTTTCAAATCAGTCCAACAAAAGAGCACAGAATAATGTCTAAAATGATCTCCAAGTTTTACTCGTCAGAAAATATGACAGTGGCCATCTCACACTCTTAGAAGCACTTCAAACAACTACTTTCATTTTCTTTTCACACCTCACAATTAGAGTTCCTTTTTACTATCCACCTCCTCCTCGAAGACACCTCTGTCAACATCCTCCAGGTGGGAGAATGTCTCTTCCGTCACCGATCTGTCATTGAGTTCCATAGAATCTACCTACCGAATTCCCTTTTTCTCCAGATGTCTTCTTTATTCCCAATATTTTCTCTCTTTGATTTTACCTGGAGAGGGCATGGCAAAGACCAGTTCTCCTGAAAGAACAGGAGACGTTTTGCAGAAGACTAGCTAGCAAAGGACAATATGCCTTTTGTCAAATAAGGGGGAGGCTGGATGAGAGCATCTTGGTTTGGATCAGTGCTTTCCTCTGTGATGTTTGTCAAGGGACAGATGGAAAGTTGGTAACACAATATGAGAGAAAAAAATTCAGATCACTTTCTCAAGACTTTGGCCATCCAAGTTTGGAGCAGATCTCCTTCTATCCGATTGGTTGATCACAGCCAGATGATCAGGTCACAGGTGATTTGTGATATGATCAGCATCTTGTCCAGGACCTCCATGTCCCCCAGTGAGCAGAACAGGTGTTCTCCCAAAAGATCCCTGTCCACTCTGGTCTGCCACATCATAAACTCCTTCTTAAAGATACAAGTCATGTCCGTGCAAATGTGTGTCTTTAGTTTTGCACACAAAACTGTCACATCCTACCATACAGACTTTTAATTTTCTTCTATTCCCATAATGCTTTTCTCTGAGTTGAATCTAGTTACCACTTTCCTCCAAACATAATTGTAATTGCTTCTCAGAGATATCAGACAGAACTCATCACAAACAGTGTGGCAGGTGTGTTTACACGATTGCTCAAAGCTGTTGTGTTTTATTTTTATTTGAAAGGCAGAGTTATAGAAAAAGGGAAGCCAGAGTGATCTCCTGTTGGCCGGTTAACTTCCCGAATGGATACAATGGCCAGAGCTGGGCCTAGATGACCTGTGGAGGGCCTTTCAGGTAAACAGAATCATACCACAGGCGGTGCTTCCGACCAGCTTCTTTTATCTAGTAGTGTTTTCAAGACATGCTATGTATGGGTAACGAACTTCCCTCTTTTAAAAATGTTTTTATTTGCTAGTGAGTGAGCAAAACTCCCAATAGCTGGTTCATAGCCCAAATTCTCAAAAACCAGGGCTGGTTTGTAGCTTGAAGCCAGGTGCTGAAAACTGGGATCCATATCTCCCAGGAGGGAGGCAGAAACCTGTAACAGGAGTCATCCCTGATGCCTCCAGGGTGACTGCCGGCAGGAGGCCGGAAACAGGACCGCGTGCGGGGGAGAGAACCCAGGCACCCCAAGGCAGCGTCCTGGTGCCTTCACCACAGAGCACCCTCTCCCTCCCTCTTTGCACAGATGTTTTTAAAAGGTGGTTGGGTGTTCACCGCAAAGCTAAGAGGAAAGTGCAGAGACCGCCTGAGTAGCCCCAGTGTTTTGTAAGCACAGCGCCCCACCTTATCAACACCTCTGAGGGTAGTGTAATTGCTGTAGTGGAGCATGGTCGTTTTTCCAGCTTCCATGTTATGGTGTTTCAACGTGATTAATTTTAACTGGATTAGTTACTTCCTCCGTTCCCTTTCTCATAGATCATTTCAGCCCAGGAGCCTGGCTAAGCTGAACAGTAATGGAATTTCAGTTATGCTCATTTTCCTGACATAATGTGTGTGTGTGTGGCGGGGGGGGGGGCGGAATAAAGAAGTTTGGGTGTAAAATAAAACAAACAAAAAAGAAGTTTGAGTGTGTGTTTAAAAAGACGTGCACCACTTTAAAACTCAAGGGGCCGTCTGGTGTCCTGAAAGGAGGTGGGTCTTTAATAAGAGAAGAAGTTAGGTAGGAATCCCAACTTGGCTCTTAGGAAGCTTCTTAACCTTCAAGGTTTCAGCCGGTTTGTGAAATGAGGCGGCCAATGCTTATCTGAGGGAGTTCTTGGGAAGATTAATGAAACAGCTCCGGAAAGCACCCTTCTAGGTCCTGGCCCCTGGGGTTAAAGGGAAAGGAAACTAGAATTCAGCAGAAGAATCCCCCAGCATTCCGCTGCTGCCCTGCTAGGAGAGCAAACACTCCCAACAGACCGGCCCTGAGCGTCTCCAGTTGGAGGGGCGTGGCCGGGAGGGGAGCATATTTAAACGAAACGAATGACGACAGCAAGACCAAGCTCACTCATCATCAACCTCCCCTCCAGTGACTCCTCCGCTTTTAGGGGGTCTAGAGACAGGACCCTGACTCAAGTTGCTTTTCTGGTTTTATGTGAAAGATACTTGGACGAAAAAAAAAATTGGGGGGTAAAGTAAAAGGTCCCCTGTGGAGAGCTCCTCCTGGGTTTTCACTGAATCCGAGGCGGACCACGCTCCAGAAATATCAACTCCCTCCTACTCAGAGTCAGTGGGAGCCTCCGCTGGAGGTAACCCCTCCAAATGACAAAGGCACGTGCGCGGAAGGACGGAGTGACAGAACCGGAGCTGGAACTCGCTCTGGCCTGCCGCTCTCTCCCCTTCACGATCCCCCTCAGGATCCCCGGCCCACCTGGCCGCCCTCGGCGCGCCCCACCCCTTCCCAGCGCTCCGCCCCTCCGCCCGGCGAGGCAGGGATGAATGGCAGCGTCCCGCCGCGCCGCTCCCGGCGCCGATTGGCAGCCCCGCGCCGTGACGCGCCGCCGGCCGCGGGCGCACGCAGGCTGGCCGAGCGCGGAGCCGGGGGCGGAGTGGGGTGGAGCGGGGCTCCGGGGCGGGGCGCGGGGCCCCGGGGGCGGAGGAGCCGGGGAGGCGGGAGGCTCCGGGGCCGTTTAAGCGGCCTGCCTCCCTCCCGCCCCCAAGCCACCCGGTCTGGCCCCGGTCGTGTCTCGACCACCACTCTCCCCCACCCGGCCTGGCCCACTCCGGCCTTGCGCAGTTGAGGGCTCTGCCTGGCACACAGGCGGCCTCCAGAGCAGCTGAAGCCCATGAGGGCCGCGCGCCCGGCCGCCGCTGCTGCTGCTGCTGACGAGACGGAGCTCCCTGTCCCGGAGGAGGAGCGGAGGATCAATGCGGTTCAACAATCGATTCCAGCGGTGAGATGGACGGCACCCCCCCCCCACTCCCTCGCCCTGCGCTCGGTGCCGGGAGCTCGTCTCCGGATCTCGCCACTTCGCGCGTGGGCCCTGGCTCCATCCCCCCGCCTTGGCCCGGGACCAGCTCCTGGGGTGATTCCCTCCCTTTCTTGGATGGCTGAAGCTCGTGCCTGACCTGGGTCCCCCGCTTCCCGATCTGCGTGCCGTGGACACACTTGCACACTCGGGACCTCGGTTCCCGGAGCATGTCCTCCTTCCTGGGGATCTCCCTGCTCATCGGCGTCACCCTCCTGCACCCCTTTCCAGGCGGGACCCCAGCCAACCCTGAGGAGCAGGACTGCAGCCTCAGGGGTGTCCTCCCACTGTAGCCTTGGCCTCCATCCCTGGATTCGCCGGGTGGGGTCTCTCCGTGCGCGAGGAACAAGGGTAGCTGCTGCGCTGTTGTGGAGGGCTTGGTTGTGTAGCTGAGGCGGGGAGGGGATTCTGGACTGTTGAGATGCTTTGTCTGTGAAACCGGGAAACTGAGGCTGGACGTGTCAGCTTAGCCTTGCCAGACATGGGGCGGGGGGAGGGGGGGTGTCCCTTGTGCGTCCTGGGGCTTAAAAGAGGCCCCGGGCCGGTGCTGTTTTTGTGCTTTGCCAGAGGGCTAGTGAGCCCTGGAGTGGTGAGACCTGCTGTTGAGGCGCCCTTGTTAGGAAACCAGGGGCAGGCGACCGGAAGAACAGTTCACTGGAGTGAGAGCTGGGGGGTAACGCAGGACTCCAGGTACCATGGTCTTACCCATCGGGCTGTGGACCGAGGTGGTCAGGCCCCCTGGTTGTCAGGGGAAGCTCTGGCTTTTGTTATTTAAGTGGGTGAAAGTTCACCTCTCCAGCGTTTGCCTTAATTCTCCATCCCTTTGTTCCTGGGTCAGCCTTCCATTGGCCAGACCATCACCCACTTAGTACCACCTAGTGACTTGGGACGGCTGATGGCAGAGGGGTGTGGAATGCATAAACATTTTTAAGGAGGTTATTGTTGAATTGTTAGGCACTGCTTTTTAAAGTGCACATTTCTTTTCTTTGTATTTTCTTTACAATTTCTATTGCCTGCTACCTACTCCATCCATTTTGCTTCTATCATTCCATCCCTAGTCCCCAAAGGGTTAGGGCCCAAAAATGCACGGGAAGAAGGGTGGTGGGCTGCGCGTGAAATCAGCTGGAAGGCGTGGGTTGACTTGTGCCTACTGCTCATCCGCTCAGGGGTTGAGGCCTTGGCGCTGGTTCCCCCATGGAAACTAACCAGTAGGGCTTTTAGGATCAAAAGGAACTCAGGGGTCCTGGCTTTAGAGCCTGATGGGCAGGAGGGAAGGCTGGAGGAGCCTCTGGAGAGAACCTGACCCAGGACGCGAGTACAGGCATTGTACAGGCGGGAGCCCCGCAGCTTTGTGCGTGTGGTTTGTTTGATTTGGTTTTACTTTTCTGCTCATCTGGGCGCTTCCTGTTTTCAGAGAACTGTGACCACAGTCTGTGAAATTACCCCTTCCTTTCTCTATTTGAATAAGAGTTTGTTTCTTTCCAGTCTCTTTGAATTCTTCTCTAAAAAAAAAAACCCTGTTCTATTTGCTACGCAAGCACCAAAAGTGTTAAAAATGAACAACAAAAAAACCCCCAAACACTTGATTTAGGATCCTAGCTTTTTAGCCGACTGAACTATGTTCTTCTGATGGAACACTAGTCTTGTAACCACTACTACAATGTCATTTTGGGACTTTTTGGACATGTTTAAAAAGTGGAGCCCTTTCCTTTTGGTGGGACACAGGCTAAGCCCTGTTCTCCGAGGATACGGAGTAGTTTCTTTCTTGATAACACTTAGTTCTAATTTTGTTTAAACATTTGAGTGATACCACGGTTGCCCATTTCTACATCGGAGGGCGTGTTGGAAAGGATTTCTGAATGTGCATTTCAACTTGGAAAGAACGTCTGCCAATAAAAAGCAATATACCAAGGAAGTCTGATTTTCGAGACTCATGGGTTAAAATGTTGAGAGTACAATGCTGCCCCTTTTAAAGCTATGCCCATTCTAAGTTTTGCTGAGCATGTAACATAGCCTTACACAGCAACTAGAAGAGAGGAGGAGGGGTTAATTCGGGGGCATTTGATTGCAGTAAGAACACTGTCTTACCTTTGTTGCTGCGTCTACATGATAAGACATCCTGAACATCTTGCTGCCTCATTCAGAACGGAAGCCTGGTGGTTACTGCATCTTTGCACTGCTGAAGTTTGTAGAAGGGCTCCGGGGGAACGACCCACCTAGTCACGGCGTCTGGGAAACTTCCGGCTGTGAGAAATTCCACTGGGACTCAGAGTACGGTTCCTTTTTGTTGCCTTCTTTCTTTCGGACTTGGGTCTCCAGACACCTAGACATCAACAACACAAATAAATAAAGGTGTCTGTTTCATACTTGGTCTGGTAGAGCAGATAGATCCAGGGAAAAGGAGTTTCCACAGAGTCATACTACTAGGAAGGGTAGATTCAGGAGTTCGATTTTCTGTCTCCACCACCCCTGCTGCTAGGTCATCTCTCCATCTTCTGCCCATATCACTACATCTTTGTGTACAGCATTGATATCATGTCTTCGTCTTCCTGTACCAAATTTTTCAACTGAAAATACTTTTTTTTCTCCACATTAGCCTTATGACCATTAGCTTCATAATTTGAGTATGTGGAAATGTATCTTATTCTAAAATATTAAGAAGTCTTCCATGGATGCAGATACTTCTGCATGTTTGCAAAGCATTCAGTCATAGGCAGGAGGTAGTTTTCTTGCTTTATTTAGTCATCAGCAGTAGCATTAGACACTGTTCTGAACAAACACCACGCTCGGTTCCAAAGGGGAGCTGTTATCAGGTATCATGCACAGGGTTCACTTCATGTGGCTCCATCAAGTGATGCTGGGGGATCCTGTAACATTTATGGTGTAGGTCTTTGAGTTTTTATGAGATTCTGAGTTTGTCTAGCTATAAGACTGTCCATCTCTTTGACACAGAGAAAACCTCTGGATTCCCAGTAAATCCAAAAGACTATGGGATATTTTCCCATTGAGACAAAGTTGTCAGCAGTAGCAAGACTATCTGTTCATTCACTCAGAAACTAGTAAGCTTAGGCAGTAAACTGAATGTTGTGCAGTAGTGAATAAGACATCTGTGGAATTCACATTATGGTACGAAATTAAAAAGCAAGTTCTTTAAAATATGTGCTGAGTACAATGAGGGCTCCAGTTGTGTGGGAAGGACTGAAGTGTTTCTCGTCATGGGATGGCTAGGAAATCTGAGCAGGTGATGACTGTAGCATGAGAAGCAAGCTGAACATTCTAGAGAAGAAAGTCCTAGGCAGAAGTAAACAGCAAGTATGCGGAGGCAACAAAACCTTGGTGTGTGTGTGCGCGTGCGCGTGTGCATGCTTTAATTTCAATGAACATTTATTTGAATGGCAGAGAGAGAAACAAAGAGATTCCATCCACTGGTTCATTCCCCCATATACCTGCAACAACCAGGGCTGGGCCAGGCCAAAGCTAGGAATTTGGAACTCCATCTAGGGCTCCTCATGGGCAAGTAGGGACCCAGTTGTTTGGGCCACCACCTGCTCCCCCTGGGTGTGCATTAACAGGAAACTAGAATCTGAAGTAGAGCTGGATCTCAAATCCAGACTCTGTCGTGTGTTAACTGCTGGACCAAGCTCCTGCTCTGTTGGGTAATGTTTAAGAAGCAGAACAGAGCCGTCGTACCTCAAGAGCAGGGTGAAATGGAGATAGCAATCTGAGGCCAGAAGAGTAGTGGTGGTCAGACCACATGGAGCTTGCATGTTGCACTATTACTTCCAGAAGCCAGACAGGTTGTAAATGCGGGATGGAGTATGTGTGAGATTATTATGGCTGCCATATAGAGACAAGTCTGTGGGGAGAGGCAGTTAAGAGACATTTTGCAGACTTGAGATGTTGGGGTCTTGATTCAGGGGGTGGAGCCGCAGCACTGTTAGAGGGGTGGGCTGATGGGGAATATGATTCTAAGTTAGTGTTGACAGCACCTGCCCCTGGAGAGTGAGGAGCATCTAAAGAATCAAGCCGCATCTGTGGGATTTGGGGCTACCCCTCTCAGGTCCCCTGGTGAGTTGCAGATCCACTTTCAGAGGTTGCAGTACTTGGGACTGAATTTCAGGTGTGCTAAGGAGTTTCTCATTGTCAGTCTGCCGTTTTGGAAAACTCTTTAGTTTTGAAATTGAGGGAGGGGGTTGCCACATAAGGGCACTGGGCTTTGGGGCAGGCAATGAAGTGTTGAAAGGCAAGAGATGAATGAACTAACGGCTTACCTCATTCCTTTACTAACAGTAGTTCCCATTCCTAGAACCAGATCACTTCTCAGGCCCTCTTAGGTACTGATGACTCTGCTTGGGAATTTGGTCACCCTGAAGGCGAATCCACCTTAAAGAATTTTCCCGTAAAGGGACACACTTTTTCATACCACTTGAACCTTTCCATTCTCTCTGGGAGGAAGAGATTAGACTCAGTGCATTTATTTGCAGTTTATGCCTGCTTTTCAGTTTTGGTCTGGAGTGATTTCTTGAAGAGGCTGTGGAGAAGGCTTGATTGCCTCCTGGCAGGTCAGAAATGGGAAATTGTATTGTATGTATTTTCCCAGCAGAGCAGTTGTACTGTGTGTCCCACTGAACTCCAGAGAGTCAAGTGCTCCCAGGGTGGTTGTTCTTTCCTGTCCCTCCTCGCCCAGCTCTTGGCTGGCTGTCAGCAGGGACTGCCTTCCATTGTCAGCAGGTATTGTTTTTGACCTCAGTTTTTCCAGGTGGGCAGGGACAAAGCTGTGGCCATCCTGGCCATCCTGGCTTACTTGCTTTGAGAAAATGTGGAAGTCTATCCCTGTTGCTGTGTAATGGCCTATTTTTAGATGAGGCTGCCAGAGCCATAAACTGCTATTTTAGTCGGCAGCCTGGTGGTGGGTAGACAAATCTGACTTGCTGCGCCCCGCATGGAGGACTCTGTTTATTCTAGCCTCATCCATCCTGACGGCTCGCTTGTGACACTCTGAAATTCCTAATAGCTTATGCTGCTTACAGGTCTGTTGTTAGGGATCAGGTTAATGATGTGATAGATTCCTCATTGCTTGGGACACTTTGTTTTAAAAGCATCCTTCCCCAGAGGGTAATTATTTTCCTTCTCACTAATAAAGGCTGTTTAGCAGCACTCTTGTCCATAAGGAAATTAATAAAATTGCTTACTGGATTGTCAAGGGAAAGAAAGATGATGGTGGAAATTACTTACCTGTGTGTGAGAATAGCTTGACTTGTATGTGAGAATAGCTTGGTTAAATTCCGAAGCTGCTAGCTATTTCTTGTCAATAGTTTTCAAACTTTCTGGTAGATTACACTCACTCAGGATGTGTTTCACACACTAACTATCTGACCCATTGTACTGAGTGTAATGGCTTTAGTGTCCCAGATTCATCCCATTGTAGCTTGTCCACCTGGGATAGCAGAGACTGACACATTTTATTTTCTTTGACTAAAGGATAGTAAGACTTTGTAAGCTCTGGAAGGTGGTATTGGCTCGTGAGCCAGGTGCTGTTTAGAATAAATGTGGTTGTACATTTCAGCTAGTTTTTGGCATAACTGTTCTTCCACTTGGTTTAGCCCTCTGCCATTTTTCATCGTGTGAATACATAATGTATGAAGAGTCAGGATGTAGTTAATGTCCGTCCTCCACAAAGCCGCCCTAGCGGAAGGATCACTGATTGTGTCTAGCCAGTTGAGATCTTGCAGACTGCGGGCAGAGAAGCACCGCCTGCCCTCTTAAACCTGACTTCAACTCCCCCATTGTTCCTCTGCATCTGCTTCCCCACTCTTTTATCCTGACAGCTGTCTTTTCTCCTCCTGGGCACAGGCAAACCCAGAGTCCCTCGTGAACTATGGAGTGGGTGCTGGCTAAGTTGGGGGCAGTCCTTACTCGGCCACCGAATTACAAAAGTGCTGTGGTTTCGCTAGGTCCTGTGATACACTTTTCACCTACTGTTGATTGTCACCAGTTGCCCCAAGGGAAATACGAAAAATGGGCACATGTCTATATGTGTAATAGGTTCTGTGTATACACGGATTTAATACTGGAGTATCAAGTACTGGTCATGGGTTTGAATTTTGAAGAAAACTTTTTTAGTTAAGGGAGAATGAAAGCAAAAATCTACCTTGTGTTTTAGGTGGTCTAAAGGTAGCCAGGTATCATGGAAGCTTTTGGTGTTGGAACAAGCAGTACAGTATAGGGAATCCAGCTGAATAGGCCTTAAAGTTGTGGTCGGAAAGGTTTACGGATCTGCAAATATAGCTTTATAATTTTTGAGAGACAAAAATGTAGTGTATATCATTTAAGAAAATCTCCTCTTTCTGTTTTTACGATCTGGTTGTCACTTTTTGGTTGTTTTTAGGTATAGGGGTTGCCAGATGCAAGACTGGGGTATGGTTTCTGTTTGCTTTTGGATGGTAGAGGGTTTTCCTGTTGAATAAACTGAAAGAATAATAAACTGAGTCATTTGCTCTAGAATCACGGCTATTGGTCCAGTTACAGCTGTTTTGTACCTTACACTTTATTCCTGTAACTAGGTTTTTCCACCAATAACCACTTTATTTAGAATAGATGAGATAATCATGGGCAGGTTTCCCCTGCTGTTCTGATGTCTTCTGGTTTCAACAGGTACATGAACCATCGAGCCCCAGCCAATGGCCGCTATAAACCAACTTGTTATGAACATGCTGCTAACTGCTACACACATGCAGTGAGTATGAATTTTACACTCAACAGATTTTCATCATTTATCCATTTTTCATCATTTTCTTAGTAATGTCCTATAATTGGCATTTTTTTATGTCCCTATAAATTTGGGTTGGATACTCAGCTACCCAACTTATCTTTAGGAATGACATTTGTTTAGAATGGGTCTTTTCTAACTGTGTCACAATTAAGAAATATGTATACAAATTGAAGTTAAGGAAAAATTAAGAACAGTCAAGAACAGAAAATGTAGTTTTAAAAATCATATTGCAGATTTCTGGATTTCAGAGACCTGTAAAATTTCCAAAACCAGTATAATATTTCTGCTGTCATTATTTCATTAAAAAGAGGACAGTTGACTATGAAAAAAGTAGAAAAGATATGATCTCAAAAAACTTTCAAGTAAAATAAATTATTTTAAGCTAAATAAAAAAATTTTTAATAAAATCTTACTTTTTTGCCATGATTACTGCTGTTTTTCTCTGAGCCAGTGAAAACTTGACGTGAAAATTCATGCCAGTGTCATACAGGAAACTTAATGTTCTGTTGCAAGAGGGCAAAACCAGGTGTTAGAAACAAAAAAGAAAGATAAGGAATTTGCAACGGTTTACATTGGTAGCCAAGAATGCTTATTCTGATATTTAATGTAGTACTTTATTTCTTGTGGGAATGTCTTTTTATAAGATGTTTCCTAGTTTTAATTATTTTCTTATAACTAGGTACTTGGCATTCATGTCTATATGAGAGACAGTATGGAAAGCACAATTCCCAGTCACAATCCAGTCGCTTTTAACATGTTTTGAATAGGAAAGTCCTGGGTGTGCGTCACTGTTACTGATTTCAAAGGTGCTGCTGCAAATGAAATAGCCCAAAGCCTCACCCTGTAAACAGCTGTAAACAGCTTTCACATTGAGCGGCTGAACACACTCGGGACATTTGACTTGAACAATGCATTTTTGTTTGTTTGGTATTATATGCATCACAATTCCTATTGATTTGGTTCATTCAGTTACCTTGGTCAAAATAATTGGAATTTCAGTAGCTCATGGGGCAGAACCTCTTGGGAAAGACTGGTGTTTGAGTAGTTTAAGTGTCTTCTCTAAATCAGATCAAATTGGGATAAAGAACATCTGTTTTGCAACAGTTGAGTAATGTTGCCTCCTTGGCTGGCTGTTCGTATCCCATTGGTTGGCGCAGCTCCTGGGCTCTGAACCGTGGTACCTGCTCTCAATGCAGCAGCTAATGACTGCTTTGGCTGTCATTATCCAAGGCAGACAGCTCTGTGTGTGTGTGTGTGTGTGTGTGTGTGTGTGTGTGTGTGTGTGTGTGTGTGTGTGTGTGTGTGTAGTCTTTTAAAAAATTTTTTTTTTAATTGTTCCTTGTAAATTTCTGTACTTCTAGCAAACGTTTCAATCCCTTCACAGCCGGGATCTTTATTTCTCCTTTCCCTTCCTCAGTTCCTCATTGTTCCGGCCATTGTGGGCAGTGCCCTCCTGCATCGGCTGTCGGACGACTGCTGGGAAAAGATAACCGCATGGATTTATGGCATGGGCCTCTGCGCCCTCTTCATTGTTTCTACAGTATTTCACATTGTGTCATGGAAAAAGAGCCACCTAAGGTACACAGCTTAGCATGCTGTTTCAACCAGAGTCTGCGTGTGTGTGTGTGTGTGTGTGTTAGCAAAGTTATAGTTAGGAACACCAAGAGTAGCCATGTTCCTGCCTTGTAGACTAATGCTATCCAAAAAGTAAGACATCTGCTTTGGACCGGACTGAGTTTGGGAGCCCCAGCTGGCTCCCTCTTTGTTACATAACCATGAATATTAGCTGACAGCTTGAAATCTTAAGAGCTCTTTTCTAGTGATATCAAGTACTCTGTGAAGCTATTTTAAACAGCAGCGGTTATTCATGAACCTTGAGTTGGCATTTGAGCTTTGAGTTCTAATCCTACTGTTAAACTTGGGCAAGTCACTTGTCCTCATGCAGTCTCACTTTCATTTCTAAAATGAGAATAATTAATGCCTCACGCACAGGGTTACTGTGATAGGTGAATGAGATCATCTAAATGAGAATGATCTGAAAATTACATAAGAGGGGCAGGTTTCTAGACGAGCAGATAAGACGACGTGCCTTCTCTACTCGAGTACCTGAATTCTGTTCCCTGGTACAGCTCCTGACTCTGGCTCTGTGCTGATGAACACTCGGGGGTGGCAGGTGGAGGCAGCAGGAATGGCTCAGGTATCTGGGTGTCTGTCTCCCCTTTAAGGGACCAGGATTGCATTTCTGACTCCCAGTTTTGGCCCTGCTAGACTCAGCTGTTGTAAGCATTTGGGGAGGGAACCAGCACACACTCTCTAATAGATTAATAAATTAAAAAGAAGAAGATCATTACAGAAGACTTGGACGACTCTGTGTTGTAAGGGGGATGCAATTCACTTTGATTTTATGGTTTTGTGAAGTTACACCTTCAGAATGAAGTCCTGTGTGTATTATGCAAAGTTCACATTGTTTGTTCTCATTACCTGTTAGGCATTTCCAAATATACTGTGGCCCTTGGCCTCCAAAGAAGACATGAAAATCCCTCTGAGGGAAGGGTTAATTTGGGAGACAGCAACGTGAGCTGCAGGACACTGTGTAGACAGAAACAGGCTGCTTGTGAAATTGATGCTGCAATAATTTCATAGATTAAACCCAAAGGGGCAGTGTTTATTTTTAAAAGGGGAGGATTTAGAGCAGACTGAGTGATTTAAATGAATAATTGAATATACCTTTTGACTTGATAGACTGTAAACAAACCTCAAAACTATTCAAGCAATCTAATATTAAAAAGACATCTTCATTTAGGAGCGGGAGTGGATCTGCGAGGTGGTTTCTTGGTTTCTTGACATGTTGCTCTGCAGAATTTCAGAGCTCCAAGGAGCCTGAGAGAACACCTCTCTGTACCGCTTTTCTCTCGGGGAACCTGACGCTCAGAGAAGTAGTCTGACTTGGCTGAGTGAGTGAGAACAGCAGAAGGGAGCATCCCTGCAACTCGGACTCCCCGCTTCGTGTGGTTGTGGTCATACTCTTTCCAGAATTGCACAGATGTCTGTATTCTGCTCCTCCTTCCTATAAGATCACAGTACCCTGGGCTCAACACGAAACCGCAGCATTGAGTCGTCAGGGTGCCCTGGGGGACACACTCAGAAGAGCCTCTCTGGTCCTGGGGCTGCTCCCTAAGACATTGCTGCCCAGCCCAGAGGCCAGACTGGAGGCAGAGCACTTTATTACCTTCCTGGCACAGTCCTGTGCTGTGGTTGCCTCAGCCGACTTGGTTTTGACATCTCGAGTTCAGAATCAATAGAGTTGTATGTAGATGCCTACTTTGGCGTTCACTGTCTCCCTGCCAAGGGCTGCAGAGGAAGGGAAAACTACAATTGGGCTCTTGAACCTGGACATGGTGCTGCTGTAAGCCTAAGCCATATGCAGGTTTTTGCTCTACATTAAACTTCTAAAATATTCAGATAAAACCTTAATTTAAGTAAAAGGCAGATGGGCATTTGCATCTGTTGAGTATGTGTTAGGTGTTACGATGTGCTAGTTACCGTTCTAAATATGTGACGTGCCTTATCACATCTAATGCTCACACATACTGTAGGAGAGATGTTTCCGCTTGCCTGGAAGGAAGGTGAGAGTCAGAGGTGGGGGAGAGATCTTGAATATATTCTAGCTCTGTCTGTCGGCTCCAGCAGCATGTCACAGTCTAGAAAGCAGAATTAGAAAGGCCCCGAACCTTGGGAGGGACGTCACCCAAGGGGCGTAACAGAAAACATCCTCCCCGTCCTAATACTTCTAGTCCTTCTAAAGAACATCTTCTGGGCTTCTTGGACTCCACAGGGGAGTCTAAATGCTGTCAGATTTGAAAAGTGTTAAGTCCAGTGTTTGTGACTTTGCCCCTCAACTTCCATTGCGACAAGGGATAATGTGGCTTTTGACTAGCAGACTAAAATCGTTCTCTCACAAGTGCATTTTTCACGTATTAATTCACACAAGCCCTCATCAGTCTCCTGCCATCAGCACTGTATGCAGTGAGGGAGAAATGACTTCTAGCACTCCACTAGACTACTCATGTTTTCTAGGGACGCTGAAAATTAGGAGTCAAGACAGTGCTGCTGCGAGTTTGCACATTTTTCTCTTAGATGTTATTTTTCTTTTGAAATGATACAATAAAATTGGGCTGCTAGGGTGATGTCTATGGGGTGATGGTCTTGATACATGTGTACTTTTTCATTTTCAAATCAGGGTGCCATCTACGGCCATACCACCCTGAACGCGCCCGATCTCGTCTACTCAGGGTACCATACTATGTCTTTGAATATTTATGATTTTTTTTTCCTGGTGAAAATATTCAAAATCCTCTCTTCTACTTTTCCCCCTCCAATTCATTTTCAGGATGTTATTCTTCTGTAGTCACCTTGCTATACAATATTTGTACTTAAAAATCTTGTTTCATTTATTTGTTTTGAAAAGCAAGAGGGCTTCTATGTGCTGGTAACACTCCCTAAATTCCTCCAGTGGCTGGGGCTAGGCCAGGCAAAATTCTGGAGTCAGGGATCCAATATTGGTCTTCCCCCTGGGTGACAAGAGCTGTGTGAACCATCACTGGTGTGTCCCAAGCAGTACATCGGGCAGGAAACTGGGATCAACAGCTCCAGTGTGTGGTGCAGGCATGCAACCAGCATCTTACATGGTCCCCCAAATCCCTGCTCCTGTTTGTACTTGTAAGTCACCTCACTGGAGGGCATATTCTGTGTAATCCATTTTCTGAACAGATCTCAGTGAGCAACATCTTTGCACATGCACTTCCTGACTTTTCAGTATGGGGAAGAGTAAGCTCCTTGGCATTCGGGACGGCTCTCCTGCCGCAAGTGCAGCTTTCTTTGCTTTTGTCACTGACTTTAATACCATGTGCTGTCTTAGGGACCCATGGACGTGAAGTAGAAACCTCTGAAGACATTCTACATAGAGACAGGAAAATGTAACTTACCCTGTGATAGGCACGAGAGGGTGGTAGTCTGCCCTGAAGGAATTTCCATTCTTGTTAGATAGGATCTAAAGGAAATGAAAAATGTCAGAAAACACAGATTTTTGTGTGTTTTAGCCACTTTACATCTTTATGGAGAAGCTCTGCTCCTGTGTGTCATGATTGGTAAGAATATATTGTGGCTGCAAAGTAAAATATAAATGTTTCATTTGTAGATTCATATATATATATATATATATTTTATTAAAAGCTGTGTGACTTTGAAGGCCAAGGTATAAATGCCTTGAGAAATGAGAATAAGGATGGGAGTGACATCCCTGCTTGCAGTCTGAGTTGTTCTGCATTATGTGTCTTACCCATTGTTTGTTTGTCCCTCCTCCCACCAGGACAGTGGAGCACTGCTTCCACATGTGTGACAGAATGGTCATCTATTTCTTCATTGCTGCTTCTTATGCTCCATGGTAAGCTACAGTCTTTGTTCTTTTAATAGGAAGTCTTCATCCCTGCTGTCCCAGCCCTCATCCCTCATCCCTCATGGGTATGCCTTACCCTCTCCACTCAAGATGAACACACGTGCATTTTGTTTTTGCAGTACGGTGTCCTTGAGCCGTAGATCTGCAGGGGTGAATTCGGCTGTGGTGCCGCATAGCACTGGGTTGTTCCACAGGAAGTGCTGTGAACTTTTGGGTCGATGATGTGCTCACTTCTAAAATATGCGACCTTTGTCCTCCATATACCGTGGCTGCTGTTCACAGTACTTTGAATTGAGTTGTTCATGTGGAAATGCCGTAAAGACTGCAAGAGAAAAAGCAAGCTACTTTCAAAATACTTATTATTCTTTCAGTTTTCTTGATCTTACTGCCCCTTTGGTGCAGGTTAAAACTTTGTTTCTAAACCCATTACCAAAGAGACTGGCTTTCCTCTCTTAAGACATGATCCAATTCTAAATACTCAAACTCATGTTCAGTCATTGGCAACTGCAGCCATGAGGAACGGCAGGCCTCTAGATTTCTATCAACATAGGTTCCGTAACTCAAAAGAGATGTAATTATCTGCTGGAGTAACAAGTGTTCCCTCTCCCCAGCACCTCTTACTAAATTAGAGGTCTGCTTCCTATCAGAGCAAGAATTCTTAGACTTTTGTGAAATACACCTCAATTTCACGGAAGGAAGGAAGGGAGAAAATGTTGTGATGAGAGCTGACGTGACCAATAGCAGAGCATGTGGTTTGTTTACATGTTGTCTTGGACCTGCCCTTAGTGCCTTTCACATTCGCTGCAACTGATTTGGCAGCTGCAGCATTTTTTTCTCATTTATAGTCCATGATAGTAAGTGTCAGTGAATTTTTAGCGTTGTAAAATTCAGACATTACAGCAGTTCATTTTAAAATTCTTTACACATCTATTTTAGGTGGCGTGTGGTGTGGTATATTTTATGGGGTATAGTGTGACATTTCCGTAGTGTATCTAACATGTCAGAATCAGTTTAGACGAATTGGCAAATTCAAAACCTCAGGTGTCGATCCTTTCTTGGTGGTAGGACTCCTTACTGGATGTTTGGAAACACAGTTGGCTGAGGTCAGGCCATAGTTACCCACTGTGCTTTGGACGGGAGAAGTCTCCTTCTACCCACTTGCAAACTTGTCCCCCCTGGTAGCCACCCTCTCTCCATCCCTTCCTGAATTCTGACAGAATGTCGTTCGTAACGTATGATGGGAAAATTCTCGTGTTCTCTTTTGGCAGAGTTGAAAATGGAGACACGTGGTCTCTTTTGCGGCATATCTGCTGTGTGTTCATGATCTCAGTTCAGCTCTCTAAGCTTTGTAAGCAGTTTCCTCCCAAATGCATGGTCAGAAACATAAAGGCAAACAGCGTTTGTAGCTTCATCTGCCTAACGGGGGGTTAGGGCAGCGTAGGTGTGCTGGGGCTCACTTCTACATGTCTGCTATTAGCTGCTTCTATTTGGAAAACCTCTGTAGAATTCTAACTGAGAGGTGGAATGACAGTTTTCTCTCTGATTAATCGTACCCAGATGGCTGAGATGTCTCCGTGGGGTGTGGAGTGCCTGTTCTTCCCTGCTTACGCCAAGACTCCGTTGTTAGGGACTAAGACACAGGTTCAGAGACTCAGCTTTGATTGATGGCTTCCGTTCTTTGCTGTCGTGTGTACATTTCTAGGTTAAACCTGCGGGAACTCGGACCACTGGCATCTCACATGCGTTGGTTTATCTGGCTCATGGCAGCTGGAGGAACAATTTATGTATTCCTCTACCATGAAAAGTAAGAGAATAATTTACATTTATGACTTTTTAAATGAACTGCTTCCCTTTTACCTTGCTTTGGATATCATTTTATGTTTGTTCTTCAAAAACTCTAGAAACGCATAGGTAGAATCTACATTATTTCCAATATGTTAGCTCTTCAGAACCATTTGGTGTTCATTGTTAGTGGACAGATTGCTGCCAGACGGTAGAAGTGGCACAGGTGTGGTGTGAGAGGGTTAAGGGACCACGTGGCCAGTCGGCAGGACCTCAGTTCTCATCCTGAGGCTCTTTAGCCATATCCTCTGGGAGTCACATAATAAAATAATCCTTTTTTCCAGGTTTCTGTGAAAATTTGAGGATAATAGGTATTAAGTGCCCAGCACAACTTTTCCCTCATGAAAAACCTAGAATGTGCTTCAAACAGGCTCTGCTGGGGGAAAAAAAAAAAAAAAAAACCTTACCAGAAAGTATTGAAATTGTTTTTTAGAAGAAAGTGTCAATTTTCATTAAATTCTGATCTTACACTCCACTTACAAGATCTTATCGACCGTAACTGGCATTATTATACCTAACTGTTTGTAGTGCCATGAAGCATGTGCAAATTTAACGGGAACAGTTTGCCTCTTGGACTCAAAGTCCTAATTTACATCCTTGGAAATAACAGGAAGTAAAGTAAGACAATTCTTATTGCAAGCTCGCTGGTGTAAACCAAAACCATAAACCCATTCTTTCTCTGAGAGGATTGCTTTACGGTAGGCTTTGATGATACAACATGAAGAATAAGGTATGAGTCATGCTTAGCCATTAATTTGGTAGACTGCACAAATCAAATCATGGCAGGTACACTGGTCCAGACCCTGCAGATCCAAACTTAATTAAAATTTGGTCCCTGCCTTTGAGGAAGAAATACAAGTTGGATTTTATTATATTGTGTCGTTTAGTAATTTCCATATATCCTGTGGTCTGGCATGATAAGCCTAACAGATCAGAGTCTGTATTCATACAGGACAGAGTCAAATGGAAATGCATGCCTTTTCCACCAGGCTGCTATTCCTTTGCGCTGATCAAGTAGGCCCCTAGCTGCAACCCCATTTTTCTTCATAATTTCACTTTCTTATAGTTCTGAGCTAGATTGGTAAAGAAGGAAAACACTCTAGTGCAGTGCTAGGTGGATGGGATTCCAACTCGCTACTGTTGGCAGAAAACATTTTCTAAGTTTGCTGCCTTTTCAGTTCTGAAAGAAATGTTCACTCATTATCACTCAACTGTGTTGTGTCACAGAGGCCTAATTCTTGTACTCGTAAGTGCAATTTATTTGAATAGTAAACCTTTTACAATTAAAAACAATATTATTCTTGTTAAGGAGAAAAAAAAAGGAAAATCTGCTATGTAAATGGTAGTAAAATTAGCTACATTTCCTTTGTAGGTACAAGTTGGTTGAACTCTTTTTCTATCTCACAATGGGATTTTCTCCAGCCTTGGTGGTGACATCAATGGTAAGAAATGACTTCATATTTCTCATTTTTTATTGAGACTCCTACTGTTATTATAGTTGTGATTTTTCTTTCTGCAGTTGTGACTTATCGATTAACTAGAAAGGAAAAAAATATGTTCACACACATGTACTGGTGACTTGTACTGTGTATTGTCAGGAATAGCTGTGTGTTTGGGATGGTTCTCCTTCTACACTACTCTTCCACGTGGAGCTGTTTCTTCTGGGTGACCTTTAGGTTTTTCTTCCTCCCTCAGCCCTCTCCCAAAGAGGTGCGTAGTTATATGGAGGCGTGAGATTTTGATTGGATTACTTAACTTCTCAACCCTAATTCCATGCAGTCGTCACATTTCAAAGTTTCTTACAATGAAGAAAATACAATCAACTTGCAAAATCTCCAAAATTAGATCTTAGTCATTTGTTTCAGCCTTCTATTAAATGGACTTTGTTTGCTAGATTTATTTTTCTTGGAAAGGCAGATTTACAGAGTGAAGGAGATACAGAGAGAAAGATCTTCCATCTCTGCTAGTTCACTCTCCAAGTGGCTGCAATGGCCAGAGCTGAACTGATCCAGTGTCAAGAACCAGGAGCTCTTTCCTGGTCTCCCACGCATGTGCAGGATCCCAAGGCTCTAGGCTGTTCTGCACTGCTTTCTCAGGCCACAGGCAGGGAGCTGGATGGGAAGTGGAGCACCTGGGACACGAAATGGGAACCTGGCATGTGCAAGCCAAGGATTTAGCCATTGAGCCATTGTGCCAGACTTTCAAATACTTTTAAAATATTTTCATTCATAATTTGTTTTCAAGTCATAGTATTTCTCTGTCCAAGGAAAGCAGTTTATTTTACTTTGCTTGAAAATATCATTGGGGAACTTTCCTGGATAGAAATGTTTTATTACCTTGGTAGGTATTTTTATGTGTATTAAATCCCCTTTTGATTGAATTACTGTTGTGAGATCTGTGGGGATCTAAAATTTTGAAGCAAAACCAAGCCACAACCTGGTGAGTCCCCATCAGCTGGTTACTCAGGCCATTATGTTATGTTCTCCAGCACCATTATATTTACATTTTCTGGGCTATAGCCACTAAATTAAGGAGGTCCTCATGTGTTTAGTTGGAATTCTGTTTCTAGCCTGCAGTGGTCAGAACCACTATATCTGTGATTTCCTTCTTAAGAGCATAGGCACATGGTGAGAACATAATTGCCCTACACTTAATTCTCAACCTTGGTTACTAACATGCCTGAGAAAAGGGTTTAAATATTAAAATGTAGCTCTATTTCTTAGGAGTATTTAAATATGTTAGATATTTGTGATGGCTTTCAGTACGACCGAACAGCAAAGATACATATAATGTCATTGAAGAAGGTCATATGGAATGATGGAAGTGGGGGAGGCAAAATGACTGAAGCAAGAAATTTGGCTATTAGGGCCATATTGTTAGAGGGCAAATCAGGACACCCAAAGCAGTATAAGCAAGGTCTATGCAGATCGGTTACTAATTAGAGTAGAATTTTAAGTAGATTTCCTCAGGGTATCTTAAGAGCAGGTTTATCCAGTATTTTATTAGCCTAAATCCTTAATTGGTATTTCCATAAGTGGCACAAAGGCAGGTGACTAATGTTTGTGATAACCAAGCAGGCTGTTTCCCATACTGCCCTCATAGAACTTAGAATCAAGCAAGTAAATACCATTTAGATTAAATAAGAAGGTATCGTGGAGTTTTTTTAATGCCTTTAGTTGGGTGAAATTTCAGGCTGTTACGGGAAAATGTGACAGAAATACCAGGAGAACTGATGTTTGTGTTGATTCAAAAAGATAAGCAAGAGCCAAGAGGTAGGAGTGGTTAGACAAATGTTACAGGTAGATACTACAGCATGAAGGAAACCCAGAGAAGAGGGGGAAGATATTGTCTTTGACAAGTTGAAAACAGTGCATGGAGTACAGAATGTTTGAGGATGGACACATGTCTGAAGGGGTTGGCGTGCAGGTGGCACAGGTCTAGTGGTCAAGTTGGAAAACTAAACAACATCTAGCGTGAGTGAAGACCCAAAGCTTTGGTTCCGGTTGGAATCATGACTAGAATTAAACTTACTGTTGATTGGGACCAGACTTACTCTTCTGCTATTAAAAAAAGGGCAACTTTTTTCCCGTTAGCACTGAACACAGACAATACAGGACTGTGATCCTTGAGGGAAGAGAAAACCCCAAACATGAGCTTCCAGGTCACCCCCATTGTTTCCCTGGGGACACTTTCCAAGCAGGAGTAACAGGCAGTGCGTCCCACCAGGCAGCAGTCTGAGTGGAGGCAACAGAAATGGACATTTTAGGCTATTGACCACGGCACTTTGTGGGTTTGGCTGCTGTACAGGAAGATGTCCAGGAGTAGGCTTCAGAAAGCTGCAGCGGGGTTTCCTTGTATCTGCCCAGTAACATACTGAATTTCTTCAAGGCTAAAACTCTTACAGGTTCTGGCCTGAATAACTGAAGGCACTGGGGTAAATGGAGATTCTAGAAAGTTCCTAGTGCTGAGTGACAGTGGAGTAGAGCTACACAAGCCCTGGGATGAGCACCACTCTAGAATGATCTTCACAGAGCATGAAACCTGGAGAGCACAACTTTGATTCTCCAGTAGAAAAACTTATACCAGAACAAAAGTCAACCAACTCTAAAGGGAGACAACAAAACCTGCATTCCCTAACAACATGGCATTCCTCACCTAGCTTACCAAATAGACAAGAAGCAGGACAGTTAACACCTGCCTAAGGAAGAACAGATCAGCTGACATAAGTCCAAAGATGACAGAGATGTTGAAATTTCATCTGCAAGGACTTTACAACATAATGAGTAAACAGGCGAGGGATCTCAAAAATAAATAAATAATAGAGGCTGTTGAAAGACATAAGTCAATTGGATATTAAATTTGAAAACTGTGATGTCTTGAGAAAACAGTGAATTGCTGGGGTTTGGCAACAGGTTGGATACTGTAAAGGTTAGTGACCTTGAAGCTAGATAGATAGAAGCATGGGAGAAAAGAAAAAGTCATTCAAAAATGATCAGAGCCTTGGTAACCTATTGGACAATATCAAGTGGTCTGGTGAAGTGTAAAAAAAAGAATAGTTGAAACTTCTCCAAAATTTGATGAAAAAATATCAGCCCACAGATGCTCAAAGTAGAGTGATGTCTGAACAAGCTAAACACACACAGCTACAGTTAGGCAAATTATTGTTAAATTCTGAAAAAACAGAGGTGAAGGAAAAACCCTTAAAATCAACCAGAGAGCAAAGGAGAATGATCACTGATATTGCATCAGAGTCAGAGGACACGAGAGTGCAGTGTCTTGGCATCTTCTGAGACTCCTGTCCGCGTCCAGCAGAGGCTCACTCTGCTGCTCAGCATCACGACTCTGCTGTCAACAGTAGGAGTGCTGGAAATGGTAAGTTTGTGAGTGAACGCAAAAAGGTTTCCTTCACATTTTTTTCAAAAGATAAAGTGGGAGATTGACACATTATGCAAAAAAATAAGTGTAGGACAACAGGATTGAGGTGGGGAAGTAGAAATTTATGATTAGAAGAGTTATAACCTTGTACAAGGGGGTATACTAATAATATATTGTAGTATGTTAAGGATACATAATCCATAGAGCAGCTGCCACCAACAAAACATAAATGTTATTGCAAAATAGTGTAATAAAGATAAAATGCAATACCAAAGGGACTCGACTGAACTGAAAAGGCGGCAAGAAAATAGGGAAAAGGGAGCATAGATGAAAGCAAATACAAAGCCTGGGGGGAGCTTCAACACAACCGTTATCAGTAATGTAGCTGAATATAATAATTGAGAATGGTCTGAACGCTCTCATTAGAAGGCAAAGATTTTCAGTCTGGATTTAAAGACTTAGCTGTATGTGTTAAATGAAATGCACTTTGAAAACAGAAAAAAAATTTAAAACTATGGTAGAAAATGCCATGGAAACACTAATCATAAATGGCTAAAATGGTTATGTTAGTAGCAGGTGAGGTCAATATCAGTTCAAGCAATAGTGGACATTTCACAATGATGAAAGGGTCATTTCTAAGAAAATAACAATCCTAAGTGCTTAATCAATAGGGGATCTTCAGAGTACTTGGAAAATCTAAGCAGGACTAAAACAGAAGAAAAAATGCAATTATAATTGGGGATTTTAATATTCCTCTTCTAGTAATTGAACAGATTGAACACACAGACAAAAAATGTAATAAGGGTGGCAGATTTGAACAATCCCATCAGCAATTTAACCATCTGGTATTTTAGAAGCCTCCACCCAGACGCTTCAGTGCACAGATTCTTCTGATCAGAATAGATGATATGTTATTGGGCCGTGAAATAATCCTCAGTGAATCTCAGAGAATTGAAATGAGCTGTACAATAAACAGTATGCAAAATCCTAAATACTTGAAAATTAACCACTACACTTCTGAAAAAAAAAAAGAAACCTTGTGGGTCACTGAACAGATTACATACTAAATAGAAAATATTTCGAATTGCGGCATAATGAAAATATAGCCTAAGTGACTCTGGGATGCACCTTAAGAACTGCTAGGGAGAAAATGCTTAGACACTGAGTAAAGCAGGGACTCTCCATCATGTGGCTAGGTCTTAGCCCTTCACCTGAAGGCTAAGGAGAAAGACGAAGGGCCCTGTAGGGACGTTTTCTGTCTCTAGGCTGTGTTCTGTCTCAAGCTACAGCTTCAGCTCTTCCCTAATCCTCCAGACTGCCAGCTCACTCTACGGGATTCAGTCTGGCCCATCCGCATAATTGCATGAGCCGGTTCTTCAATAAGTTATCATATGTACTCTGGTAGTTCTGTTTCTCTGGAGAACCCTAGTGCTATTAGAAATGTAGAAAGCTTTAAAATCTTGAAAGGCAGATTCTCAAGAAGAAACCAATGATATATATGGATATCAAAGCAGTCAGTCCAGGGGCCAGGGTTGTGGTGCATCCCATGCTGGAGTGCTGGCTCCAACTCCCTGCTATTGCACCTGGGAAGGCAGGGATGATGGTCTGTCTACCCGTGGGCCTCTTGTCACCCATGTGCAAGCCCAAGATGGAGTCTCTAGCTCGTATCTTCAGCTTGGCCCCAGCCCTGGCTGTTGCATCCTTTAGGGAGTGAACCAATAGATTCCCCCCGACACACACACACAAATATATGTGTGTATGTGTGTAAACAAATATATGTATATATACACATATGTATATATGCATACAACATACATAAAACATGTTGCATATGTTGTGTATATATACATGTATGTTTTTTGTTGCTCTGCCTTTCAAATAAGTAAATCTTTTAAAAAGAAAGAAATCAAATCCACATCAAAATGCCTTACAACAAAGAAAACTGAGTTCTGAGAGTTTCACTGATAGAGCCTACCTTAGATTTACAGTAGGAATAATTTTTTTAAAGATTTATTTATTTTACTTGAAAGGGTTAGAGAGAGGAACAAATAGAAAAAGAGATCTTCCTTCTGTGGGCTACAAAGGCCAGAGCTAAGCTGGTCCAAAGATGGCAGGAGCTACTTCTGGGTCTCCCACATGGGTGCAGGAGCCCAAAGATTTGGGCCCTCCTCAGCTGCTTTCCCAGGCCATTAGTAAGGAGCTAGATCAGAAGTAGAGTAGCTGGAACTAGAACCATCTCCCTTTGGATGCCAGCACCACAGGTGGTGGAAGAATAGCCTGATTCGCCACCACGCTGGCCCCTAAAGTAGGAATAATTCTAAGTCTGCACACACTGCTTCACAAAATAAAACTTCCCAATACATTTTATGAGGCTGTTACACTGAGTTACCAAAATTGCAGAATTATAAGAAAACTATAAGCCAGTATCCTTCATGAAACAGAAAACATTTCAACAGAGATTTGTAAATCTAATCCCAAAATATAAAAAGAATAATGCAGCAACATCAAGTCAGCCTTATTTCAAGAAGACAAGTTGGTATATCACTTAAAACCCATCACTGGAATTTATTACATTGAGAGAATTAAAGAGAAAACCCTAAGGTCACACTCATAGAGGTTGAAAAAGTATTTGAGAAAAATCTGTTAGTGATTTAATATTTTTTTAAAATTTATTTTTCATTGTATTTGAAAATCAAGTTTATTTCTCAAAATTCCTGCAACAGCCAGGACTGGGCCAAACTGAAGCCAGGAGCCTAGGACTCTGTGTTGTGTTCATTCACGTGACAGGGACCTCGGTACCTGAGCCGTTAACCTGCTGGGACTCAGTGTTGTGCTGGTTCATGTGACAGGGACCTCGGTTCCTGAGCCGTTAACCTGCTGGGACTCAGTGCTGTGCTGGTTCACGTGACAGGGACCTCGGTACCTGAGCCGTTCACCTGCTGGGACTCAGTGTTGTGCTGGTTCATATGACAGGGACCTCGGTTCCTGAGCCATTCACCTGCTGCCTCCCAAGGAGGGAGCGCATCAGCAGGAGGCTGGATCAGAAGCCCAGTAGCCCAGCACTTGACCGGAACACTCTTGACACAGGATGTGACTGTCTCAGCAGGTGGCCTAAACACTGTACTACCTGTCTACTCCTTATTCAAATTTTTTTAAAAGTCTTAACAAGCTTGACTACTTCTTAAACCTGACAAAAGCCTTTATGAAAATAATTTGCCCAGCTAATACACTTAATGGAGAATGACTAATACACTTAATGGAGAAAAACTAACACGTTTAATGAAGAGCGACCGAATGATTGATGGGAGAGAAAGGCAACAGTGTCTATCTGCTCCTGCCAGATGAGGAAAAAATGCTGAAAGGCACACAGAATGCAAAAGGAATGATGAAGCTGTCTTCCCAGTCTTGCTCACATATATGGAGAATCCTAAGGAATTTACAGTTACTACAATTAAGCAAATTTATTAAGGCTTTAGGATATAGTTAAAATACGGGAATTGATTTTATTCATAAATGCCTGCACTCAATGTAATTTGGGGGACTAGGGAAGTTTTTAAAAACACATTTTGAATATGTGCATATCTGTGTATGCAGCCTCACAATACACACAAAAATTAATTTAAGGTGGCTCATAGACCTCAGTGTGAAACCAAAAGTATAAAATTTCTAGAAAATTTGGAAAGCTTCAGGAAGCATAGCATCATATCATCACAGTGTTGGAGCAGGCAAAGTTTATGCCACAAAAAGCTCCAATCATCATCAATTCTAGTAGAGATGTGAAATAACACACATATGAGTATTGTTGGGAGTGGTCAAAAGGGACATAACTATAGCAGAAAATTGTATAGTTTCTTCTAAAGTTAAACATGCATGTATCCTGTGATTCTGTAAGCACTGCCTGATAGGAATCAAAGCATACATCTACAAAAGACTTTAAAACATCAGTTTCATTCACAATAGCACCCAAAGGGATAAATTATAATAAATAATGCAATGGGTCACTAAGCAATAAAAGGAAATGACTAATATATGCCAGGATATGCATGAATCTCAAAAATATGTTGAGCAAAAAAGAAGCCAGACACAGAAATCTAGGTATAGTTCCTTTTGTGAGAGTGAGGCTCTTGACCAAATGGATAGTCAGTGGTAACAGAAATAATAGCTGGTGCCTTGGTGGGTGGAGGTAGCCAAGACTGGGAATGAGACCAACCATCTTTCTGGGGATTGTGCATCTTGATATAGGAATATTCCATTAAGATCTGCATGTTACATTCTGTAAATTGTTAAATTTAATGCCTCCACTCCCCTGCCACCCAAAGGGATGTTCATGTCACAGAACATCTTGATTCTTATCCCAGTTCTGACACTTGAGAGCTCTCTCACCTTGGGCAAATTAACCCTGTTGTGCTTCCATTTTCTCATCTGTAACACGGGGATAAGAGCAGTACCTAATTTGGAGTTGTTAGGAGAAGTTAGTCAGTAGATACAGAGATGTTTCAGACATTACCTGGACTGGACAGTAATGGCATTGACAATGAAAACATGTTGCTTCTTTTAGATTGACCATGTTCTAGTTTTTAGAAAGTTGATAAAAGTAAATGTGGTGTGTTGAACTGTCTCAGCAGAAATGTAGTCGGAACCAACCTATGTGCTTGGTTTGGTTTGGTTTGGTCTCTTGCTTATTTTATGGGAGGGAGGAAGGGAGAGAGAGACAAAGAAGGCAGGAAGGAAGTGCGGGTAAGATGTGTTTTATTTAGGGTAGCTCCATGACTCTGTTGAGGTTCCTTGTTGACACACACAGAACATTTCATAATGAGTATTAATTTCTCTCTAACCTTTAGGAAATAGTAAATGTGATGTTTGTTTTTAAATAAAAATAAAGACATCTGAAGGCTAAGGAGGAATCTAGTATCAGCCAATTTCAGCTGTGTTCCTCCCCTGGTCCTGGGAAGCTTGCATGAACTTCAGAAGTAGGAATGACTCTCCCACTTGCCCCTCCAGTCTTCTGCTGGTTTGGCCAGGGAGACCTGTTCCAAGGTCCTCATTTGAGGCTGCTGGGGTCAGTCCCCAAGCCTCTGGGACACCCACTCACGCTTCCCTGTCCTGGGCCCTGCCATGATCTGGTTTCCACTCTGTAGAAGCCTTTCCTTTGCAGCCCTTGGGAACCTAGGGGAATGGCTCAGCTGCTAGGCACCTTCCCTCCCTCAGCATTCCCACAAGGCATTTTAATCTTGTGGATAATCCTCAGTCTTTGAAAACCAAGAGTAATGTGAACTCTTCTCTTTTGTCCTAAAGCACACAAAACTGTTTACTTCCTGCTAAGCCAAGAAATGCTCACGTTTAATGACAGGCATGGAGACATCTAGAAGTCTAGGAAATACCTTGCTCGGAGTATTCTATGATCTCAAGGGTCACTTGTAGTTGGGTGTTTCCTGTGTCAACCGTAATGAAGCGGTACGCTCAGCACAGAACACGTCTCTCCAGAAGGTGGTCACTGCAGAGCAGCTTCTGTGTGCCAGGGGAGAACCAGCTTTGACCGAGATGTAGATTATAAATGCAGTGGCTTGAGCCTGCTTATGTGGCAAGGAAGCTGCTTCAAAAGGCAGATGAGAACCAGGTGCTGTATTTTATTAAAATGTTCTTCCATGTCTGGCTATGATTGCAGTCTTCTTAAATGTGCCAAGCAGGCAGAATGTGCTCCTTGGTGGTGTGGGATGTGCGATGGGACTTCCTTGCTGGATCAGCACTGCGAGTCCTAACGGGAATCCGCACTGATGCAGGAGAGACTTCTGTTACGTTTGGTTCTTGTTTACAGATCAGGATTCTGTTCACACAGAGCTTCTTCATTGTTGAAAAACTCAGGAGCCTTAGAGGGAATTAGAGTTATCTCCAAAGCTTGTCACACCAGAGTAATGTCAAAAACCCTTTTTGTGTTTTTCCTCTGTTGACAGACTAACACCGATGGACTTCATGAACTTGCCTGTGGGGGCTTAATTTATTGCTTGGGAGTTGTGTTCTTCAAGAGTGATGGCATCATTCCATTTGCCCATGCCATCTGGCACCTGTTTGTGGCCACAGCAGCTGCGGTGCATTATTATGCAATTTGGAAATACCTTTACCGAAGTCCTACGGACTTTATGCGACACTTATGACCAGTGTGTAGTAGGTCTCCAAGCCAGTATTAACTCAGTGATGGCACTTGGGATTGGGTAAGCGCTGAAAATTGCACAGGGAGAGGAAAAACAAGATAACTGCACTGACTTTAAGTATTTTGAATCTAATTACTGTGAAAAGTATATAGAAGCTGTGATCTGGAATTTCCCCCCTCACAGCAAACAGTAGTGAATTAATCATCCATTCCATTCCACTATCACGAAGGACTCTGAACAGACTTGGCCAACTGATGTTTACAAACCTCAATTTTGTATTTTAATTTTACAGATTTTACTACATGGTTTTTCTAAATTACTAGGTCAGGTTGTCAAAGTCAGTGCAATAAACAACGCTTCCTTTTTAAGAAAAACAGTTTCTTTCCATCATGTTCCCATTTGCTGCATAAAGAATCATGGATGGAACTGACACTACTTTTACCATGTTTCATCTTGGAATAACATGGTTCTTTTTTAAATAGAAACTTTTAGTTTTTTGTAAATTTTTAAAAGCTGTTTCATTGAAGTGCATCTTTGCGGTTCCTCATTCATGTTGTGAATTTTTGCAGCAGTCAACATTCCACAAACAAACATTATACCTCTTTGGATACTTTTATTAAGTGTGGAGAAATTGCCAATTTTACAAACTGCAGTTTTCCAAACTTTTCTGCCAACCTCTGACTCTGAATTCAGTGCTGCTTTGGACCACACACTTGACCTAGAGTTTGGTTTACCAGTGATGGAAAAGTATTTTGATATTGATAACTTTTTCAAAAGATCCAACTTTTCTCAATGCCTTTGCTGTGTTGTCTTCAGGGTCTCTTACAAGAAGTGGATGCTCTTCATATTATGGTAGTGTTGTTGAGTTGGCCGTTGGCTGACAGCTCCTCACGAGCATTATGTGTTAACACTGAATGGCTGCTTTGTGGGTTTGGTGCCCAACAGTCAAGCCATTGTCATGTAGCTTTACATGCTGAGTTTGATACTCATTTTAAATTGTGGAACTAGATGCTAAATTGACATTTCTGCTTTTCCTTTGCACCTCCTAATAGAGTGTGTGTTTTTTTTTAATAGAAAAATATTTAAAGCATTGTGTGGTTAGTAGAAAAGTGTGTGTGTAGTCCACGAGTTATATCCTGCCTCAGTGGAGTGGTATTTATATATTCTTTTGGGTTTTCCCAAAGTGTCTTATATTAAGATTATCATATCATTTATTTTGTTGATTAATCTTTCTTTCAGTATTTTAATAAATGAAATAACCTTGCCTTTAGGTTGGGTGCTGATCTGGCCTGTTTTCTAAGAATGGGGTTGAGCAATGGAATTGTCAGTTTATGAAAGCAGATTAATTGAAATTTTGTACTGATGTAGCATTAAAACGAGGTTTATTTTGTGTGTGTATATATATCCAGAACTAATTTTGGTGAATTATACAGGAATGAGGAATGTATGAATGGATACTTGCTAATGAATTTAAGTAGGCAAGGCACCCTGTGACAACATTAACCAGACCGCCCCTATCTGCATGTTTCTGAACATCTGGATGCCTGTAGTGTTACTGTGTATATATTATTGTTAATATATTAACTTGTGTGGAGTCATCTGAAGTCTGCTCAAAAGCAACACTGTCAAAACCACTAAAACGTGTGTGAAAATTGTGCTGTAGACTAGAATAAAATTGTCACTTGGATTTGTTCCACTGTTTCTAAATTAAATGACTGTGAAAATAATAATGCATGTTTCAGAGCTTGAGTTCCTCTAGCATTTGTAATTCATATATTTGTCCTTTGTTTTTTAAAAATCAGAGTGGAAAGAAAAAACAAAAACAAGAATGCCCTGTCATTTGGAACTTTGTATTTTGTTTTTGTGCCATACTCAGCTCAAACATTCATCAAGATGCATTTTCAGCTTTTAATATGCTAGCCAGAGCCTGAAAATATTAAGTTTTACAGCTGATATGCCTTTACCAAGAGAAGCTCCTTGGCTTAGCTAATTTAATGTTGTAGGCCTTGGGTCACAGGCTTTTCTCTTACTAGCCAGACATACATACTCTGCTGAACCCAACATCCCGTGCTAAACCCAACAACTCCGAGAGTGGTTGAGGTCATCCTCTGTACGGAGTAGGGTAGGAAATGACACTCACTGACATTTAACTGCTTCAAGCAAAACAATGAACTTTAATTCCAAAGTCTCATTCTCCATATTCCATTGCATTCCCAGAGTTGGCCAAAATAAACAAAACAGAAAATGTGAACTAAGAATTGATCAAGCATGGACATGAAAAAGAAAACACCAGTAAGCCTTCCAAAAACCTACTGTCAAATTGAATTGGAGAACTGAGTGTCTTGAAATGTATTATCCCCAGCAATGGTGCCCTCTGCTACACCAAGGCCATATCATCAATTTCTAGAACTTTTACCAAACTGCTGTGCTGTCACCTTCCCGCAATCAATGCCAACATGCCTTAGGCATATTTTGTTCAGTCTATTTCAAACTGAGTTTATTAACTCCTCTTCATTCTACTAAATGCATTGCCCTGAAACATCCTTTGATGATTACTGGAAGGCCATGGCCATTCATTTTTCTTTCTAGCCAAATGCAACCAAAGTACCAACATCTCCCTAATAAGATTCCTCACATCCCCAGTCTACCTCCCTCCACACCCTCAAGACCCTAAAAATCCCAAATTAACAGCTTTGAACTTCTAGAACCACTTGCTCATTTGTATTCCTATCACTGCTTACACTCTTCAAAGGATATACCGATACCCATGTCACCTTCTTAAAATCAAACCTGAGTCCCATGTCTCCTGCTTCAGATCTTCCACTAATAACCTCTGAGAAATGCCCAGCACCTTAAAATGGACTCATTTCCCCAACTGAACCCCACTTGACACATGCCTGGCTGGTGATTTTGCAAGCGAATACTTCTATGACTAATTTGCAGAATGTCTTTGGTGCAGCCTCTAACTCGGCTGATGTTTTCCTCATTCCAAATCTCCACCAGGTGCCCACCCTCTGAGCCAGGCTCCAGGCACGGTGAGAGGTGCCCTCCTGGACTCCACAGCACCGACATGCCTTCACGGCCCCTGTCATGTTACCTTGTGACTGTATTCGCCATCTTCCCCTTCTGTGGTCCCGAGACTGACCCCGGAAGGCAGAGCCATCGCTGTTCTACCTTCTATCATTGCACTGAGCTCTTGGTAGGCCTAAAGGTTTCTAAAATGTCGGGAGAGAGCGGAAGGGGTCATCGGAAGATGGTGTTAAGAAGGGAAGAGTCTGAGAGCAAGGGTTTTACAAGACAGGCTTTGTTGTGTAGCAGGTTCCTCTCATCTGTCGTGAGCGCTGAGCAGAGATGATGGACACCTGAGTTTCAGGAATTTGCTTTTGTTTTTTGTTTTGTTTTGTTGTCCTTGGTGGCTTCCCTGATCACTGGTCAGCTACAACATTTATAACAGCCACAGGAAAGTCGACAAGGAAGTGGAGCGAATTAGATGCTTCCTCCATCAGGAAAAGTCAAAACTGATTACCAAAGAGTTCTTCCAAATAACCAACTATCACCAGTTTGCAAGTTTTGAAAATTGTTTTCCCTAGCCTGCTTCCCTCTGGTTTTCTTTTCCAAACAGAATAATAAAAATGAAAACAGCACTCAGACCTGCCAACCCCAGAGCTTTAGTTCAGATCATCTGAACTCAGAGAAGCAACTTTCATATTTTTAACCTAAAAAATCTGGGAACTACAAAAAACGCTAAGAAATAAAGAAAATTAAAAATGGCTGACTGTACTCATCCTAAAGCATTTTCATGTATTTTCTGTCAATCTTTTCCCTCTAAGATTTAGTTTTTGTCTTATGCAGGTGTAGATAGTCTGTTACATATAAAACTTCACACACATAGCACTACTGTTTCCCCACTTAGTACACATATAAAAGTATTATACAGTTTTCATAGCCAGATTTTTCAGTGGCTCCATGATTTTTCGGAACTGGATATGCAACCTATCTCGCTTAGTCAACGCTTAGTTTTGATTGTTTCAAAATACTTATTTTGAACAATATTGTGGGAAGCAGGCAGCTCTTTCCACATTTATGATTTTTTAAAAGATGTTGGTCCAGTTGGTTAATCCTCCCTTTGCAAGCACTGAAATTCCATAAGGGTGCCAGTTTGTGTTTTGGCTGCTCCACTTCTCATCTGGTTCCCTGCTTGTGGCCTAGGAAAGCAATGTGGAAGATGGCTCAAAGCCTTGGGACTTTACACCCATGTGGAAATCCAGAAGAAGCTCCCAGTTCCTGGCTTCAGATTGTCTCAGCTCTGGCCATTGTAGCCACTTGAGGAGTAAATCGGTGGATAGAAGATCTTCTATCTTTCCTTCTCTGTGTGAATCTACCTTTCCATTGAAAATAAACCCATCCTTAAAGAATAAATATTTCTTTTACTTATTTTAAAGAGTTAAAGAGGTTGGAAGAGACAGAGAGCGAGAGACATTTTCCATCTGCTGGCTCATCCCCCAAATGCCTGCAATGGCCAGGGCCAAAGCCTGGATCCAAGAACTTCATCCTAATGTCCCTTGTCCGTGGCAGGGATCCAGACTCTTATACCATCTTCTGCTTATATTTCCAGGCCACAAGCAGGGATCTGAATAGGGAGTAGCCAGAGCTTGAACCAGCATCACCTATATGAGATGCTGACATTATTAGCAAGGGCATAACAGCTGTGCCACTGCACCTGCCTCTGTGGTTGTGGTTTATAATAAGCAAGTTGTTTCCTACATATTGGATATTATGAAAGGTCACACAGATTATCTTATTTAATCATTACAGACTACCTTTATAGGATGTTTTTCTTTGCACCATTTTACAGGCAAGGAAACATAGTTGATGAGTTTACTTGTTTGAGTAAGTGGCAGAGCTCTGTAGGACTCAAGAAGCCTAAGGTCCATTAATCTGAGGAGTGTAATTCCTGAGTCAAAGGTTTATTAATAGATTTAATCCAAGCAGAAATTTTTAAAAAGAAACTTTGGGGCAGATGTTTGGCCTAGTGGTGAGAACACCACTTGAGATGCCTACATCCATACTGAGGTGCCAAAGCTCAAGTCCCAGTTCCACTCCAGACTCTAGCTTCCTACTCATGCTAAGCTTGGCAGGCAGCAAGTGATGGTTCAAGTAGTTGGGCCCCTGCCACCTAGATGACAGACCTGGATAAGAGATCATGGCTCCCAGTTTCAACCTGACCCAGCCCCGGTCCCAGCTGTTGCAGTTACTTTGGAGGTAAGCCAGCCATGGAAACTCTCCAATTGGATTTCCTTCTCAGATAGGGAGAGTAAATTTAAAAAATGTAAAAATAAATTCATTAAATGCATTTCAAACTTGTACCTTCCTCCTTGGTGTTTTCAGGTAGTCCACTCCTCGTGTGTCCATTAGATGGAAAGTGGGTTAGGAGAAGCTCTGAATGAAGCTGACCTGGAAGCAGCTGGCTTACTTCCCTCCTTCTGAACCAAAATAAGCATCCCAGGAGGCCTGAGGAGTTTTTGTTTGTTTGTAGTTTTAACAAAGTTAGAATGACAGCACCCATGCCTTTCTGCTGCTTTTGCTATTTTAAAAGACACTGCCAGGATATTCTTATATTCCGTGCCATTCCCACCTACATCCCTGCAATGTTATTTTTTCCAAGAAAACAATGTCACTGCACTCTAGCCGCTGCGCGAGGGGAGCTGAGCTGTTCTCATCAGGGGCCTGCTCAGCACCAGGAGCGCCTTCTCCTGCTGCCGCATTGCTCATTAGCACTCAGGCCTTCGCTGCAGTCAGAAGTCATCATGTCAAAATAGACTGGCTTGGGAAAGTAGACCCTGGAGGCTTACCCTGTCACCCAGGAGAGGGGGGGGTCCCTTGCACTGCTCTTCTTGCCATACTTGCTGCACCTGTTCTGTGGTACCCACTGAAAGGCTCAGTAAGCACACCAGTGTTTTCTGACTCCCATCTGTGAGCCATTTATCAAGTTGTTGTGGAATCAGACAGCCTGTAACACCCTGGCTACGGGAGAATAGACAGGCAGTCCCCGTAAGCTTCAGTTCCTATCTGCAAAAGGATAGGATAAAATATAAAGGAAAAAAATATAAAGGACTAGATTCTTGCCTCTGCTCAGGCTAGACGGTTCCCAGACCCCGCTCCATTACTCTGCTTTTGACACCTTGTGAGTTTTTGTCCTTTTGTGTGTGTTGGCAACATAAGACAGATTTCTGCTGGTCAGTGAATGCAACAGTGTGTATAGGCATTTAGACAGTTTTGCTGAGGTGCCTAGCTCTCAGCCTAAGAGCATGCCTTCATGCAACACATTGGTCCCTCTGCCAGTCTGAGTTGGAATTACCTGTCTGATCTGACCTTTGAGAACTCCAAAGCAGCTCATAATTTAAAGGAACCTGTGGCACTTATGCACATCCCCTGGAGCGTGCCCCACCTCGGGGCCCCTGGGTTGACATCAAGTGGCCATTCTGCCATCCTAGGGTGTTTGGGAGGCTGGGTGTGGCTTCTCCCCACTTATCTCTTCCTTCCCCCAGATACGGGAGGAAGAAAAAATCCTTATCGTCTTCCACAAGCATCATGAATTAGTTAAATGTCATGAATCATTTTTCTTCCACAGGAGCATTGAAAGGTAAAGTACATAGGTCTGTAAGGCATGGCAAGGTGGTCCATGGATGTATGTGTGGGGTGGTTGTCAGTGGTAACATTTCTTTTG